ATATCTGTGTGTGTGTGTGTGTGTGTGGGCGCGCGCGCGCTTGCGTGTGTTGGAAAGAGAAGTCGGTGACGTGTGCAAGCGAAGAGAATTTTGTGTAACTGAGTTTTATTAAGGTATTTTAATTAACTACGTTATTTTATTATATATTTATACATTTTATGTGCTAATTATATAAAATTAGTTTAAATAAAAGAGGGTAATTTCATATTAACAATTTTTATGAATTAATTTTAGTGATTTTAATTTATCTGAGAGTTGAATTAAAGTTTGATAGAGAGGCTAAAGTGCTAGTACAATAAAGGGATTAGTATTTTAGAGATGTATCAAGAAAAATGTGAGTAATTGTTTTTTATGCAACAAATTAATATTTTGTTAGATGAATATTTACTTTATTAAATATTTTAAAACAAAAATCTCATTTTCGGCTGACATTTTGAAAGTTTGAAATAGTATTACAAATGGGAGGAAAATGACGGACATATTAAAGTATATTTTTAAAGTATTTTAATTGATTGAAGTGTCAAAAAAGTATTTAAGTCGTACAAGATTACCCCCATATAGTACTGACAGACATGTTAAAAAAAATAATAAAGGTGTATCTTCGGGTGCAATTTTGAGGGTATCTTCGTGTACATTTTTTAAGGTGCATATGGATACAATTTTTTAGGGTACTTTCAGGTATATTTTTAAGTATACCTTCAGGAATGACAATAATTCTGTTATAACTTTTAAAAAGGTTAAAAATAATAAATATTTAATGTGAAATCGGAAGGGATAAATTTAATATGAAAGTTTAAAATTTAATAAAGAAATGAATTGCATTTTCTTTTGTCATTCATGCATAGCTTTGACATAATAATTTAATGCATATTCAATTATAGCTATCTATTAAGTCAACCTTGCAGTTGAAATTAATGTTTTCTTTCTGGCAAGCAAATGTCATAGGTTATTATGTCTGACAGGCGCGATTTAGATTACAGGAGGATGACCACTGTTGCTACGTATTATGGTTGTAGCTTATTTGTACTATTTGCTTTCATATTATGATTATATTGTTTAGTGTTCGTTAGAAATGTTGTCTACAGATTATTTAGTTTTTGTATGTATTGATTTTTATATGTTGCACATTTTGGATTATTAGTGGTTCTTTTATATATTGAGAGTTTTCTAAAAACTATGTGTAATAAGATTGTAATATTAAAACCATCCGACCGCAGTTTCTAACTTAGTTAACTCTAAACTATCAGGCTGGGTCGTTACATTTTTAGAGATCCATCTTTTATATATAGCTTTCGACAACAACAACCATAAGAGGAAAGCATATAGATAAAGCACCAATCTTGAAATCACCATACTTTTCATAGCATAACACCCCGCTAATGTGAGAAGGCATAGAAATTTTGAGGACAAAAAATTTCCAATTCTTAACCGAACTCACTGAAATACCATAGCTAACTTAATGCATGGGAATATTTTGGGAACAAAAACCCCTCAGCAAATAACAGGAAATATGCTACGAGCAACTTTGCTCTTACCTGTATTGAAATTAACCAAGAAAAATGTGTGACAATGAAATTCAACTATAGGCAATAATGTGGCTGCAAGAGTTCCATTTTCAAAAGAAATTAAATGACATTATAGGCATAATTGAATTAATAATGCAATGATGCCATTACTACCCCAACACTGATTTACTAGTAGGGTTGTGAACTAGGACTTAAGGTAAGATCCATAAATTCTAAATTGGCTTTTGGCTCAGATCACTGTAATGAGACGACAAATGCTCCATTGCTTGATTCAGGTTGATCATGGAGTAATATGGTCTAGATTGGATTGAAATGTATAAATATATATTTTTTTATAGTAAACATAATTGAATTTATGTATTTATGCACATTTGGACTTATGAACCTATATATGTTTGTGTGTGTATGATCATTAGACTAAGAGTTTGTCTAATGAGAAAATATTTTGGAATCTGAATCAAATCAAGTATGTGTTAATCAAGTCACTTAGCCATGGCAGACTCTGTATCAAAATTTATAATTGCATTTGGGTTGGCTTGAGCTCGATTGTGTTGATTTTGGGCTGGTGTTAGATTAATTTTGGAGATTGAATCATTTGAAGTTCTACTTTGTGGTGCATGTTTATTGATAGAACATGTACCACTAGTTGTTCTAATTGGTTGCTGACAACATTTTATAAATTCATCATTTCTGTATGTTAGATCTTGATTCGAAGTATGATTATAATTTTTTTAACTTTTTTTAACAATAAAATCAGACCCTTAAAGGTTGAGCTTTTTTTCATTGATATTTCTGTTTGGCAGGGGACGCTATACACACACGGATTTTTTAGTTGTCATGAAGGCTGCAACATTGGAGCTAATGGATTTCCTTGAGAGGGGTGAAACCTAAACTTTTTATTTGTTTGGTATGTAATTTTTTTCAACTATGATGTTTTGCTCGGTGCCAGCTGTAATCAATATCATGTGCTAACAAATAATGTAGAGATAGGGATGAATCGAATAATTTATTAACACTTTTATCCTTGATTAAAGTAACTCTATTTATTTTTATTTCCATTTCTGAAGCACTAATTCCTGTTGTTTTCTAACCTTTGCAGTAAACTGGTGTTCCATAACCATGTGATCATAGGGATCTTCGAGTTGAAAGTATGAACTTCTTTGTGTCTATAGAAAGCGGTGGTTTTCTTCCCTGCAAGCTTTGTGATGACCACAATTAGTTTGGCTTATTTATCTTTTAAAGTATCATTCTAACTCTGGTGCAATTTATTAGAGTTTCTATCTATTGGGGGCAGTTCAACATGTCCTTTGTTTATTATTATGGAACTGATGAATTGAAATCCTTTGCTTAACCACAAAATCCGAAAGAATGCACCTTCTCATTTGAGTTATGGATGAGAAAATGAACAGAAAGGGGAAACTTTTTTCTTAACGCAATATATGCATCTTCTTTAGAGTTCATTCCTAGTCTCTACTAAAGTATCACTTCTCTTTGTATCGCACCATAACTTTTGTGGTGATACAAATTGAATTCATTATTGTCTACTTTATCATTCAAATATAAATCAGGCAAGTGGCATCGTTCCCAAAGCATCCTTTGATTCAGTGATGCCGCCATCCCAGGCAATTGTTGGAACCAGGGGAGCGTGGAAGATGGAGAAAGGCAAGTTACCATTTAATTATATTATGAGTATATTTGCACAAGTGCTACAGTTGCCTCTTCATCCTGATAGTCTGGTGCAACAAATGTCTTTGTTGTTTGCTTTATTGCTGTTAACTCTTTTGACTGTTCATTGGATGACTTGGATGCAGTAATCAGAAGGGACCCAAATAATTGGAAGAAAAACTTTGCCGACATTTGTGATCTACTTAGGAGAATTCATTGCTGGTAGTTTAAACCAAAGAGGTAGGATAGGTGGGACCTCGCTAGGATCAAAGCCTGAACATCTTATGCAGCATTAACCAAAGTAAGGCTTAGGTGGGGGAGGGGGGACAGGTGGTGAGCCTATATTAAGGGTTAGTGAGGTTAGTGCTAATCGAACTAACATATTTGGAAGACATTGTTTGCCCACTATTTTTTGGCCGTATTTGCCTATTTTTGTGCGGAATGTTAAAGTTAGGGTGAGGGATTTTAAAGTTTGTTTTTTTTTTTTTTTTTTTTTTTTTGGTTAAAAGAGCATTATTCGGCACTTTACATATTTCATCAAAAAAAGAATTACAAAAGAAGGAAAATGACCTAACTAACACTCACATACAACTCACGCAAAATAATGAACATCTAAAGGTCCTCTTCCCACAGAAAAATAAATTACATCACATACACCCAAAACAACAACAACAAAACAAGAACAAACAAAATAGAATTAACAAATATCATTCAAGGCTAGTCTCAAAAGATCTCGAATAAACTTGAAAACCAGAGCACCATGTAGTTTCAATCTAGCCTTAGTCATCCAATGAGCAACCATATTCCTCTCTCTCTCTTGATATGAGTCCAATAAATTACCAAGTGTTTAACAAATCAAGAATTCTTCATTTGAATGTTAACACTCCAATGATGATCCTCTTTCAATCTGCAATACTTTCATAATATCAAAGAATCTGTTTCGAAAATAATAAATTTCAAGCCACATTTTTGAGCCACCTGAAGACCAAAAACCAAAGCATCAACCTCAGCAACCAAGGGGGAGACAAGAAAAACACCAGCCGAAAACTAGCTTATAATAGAACCAAAATATTCTCCGCAAACTCCACCAACACTAGCACAAGTACTTTTACATCATCCATTAATGTTTATTTTTATGAAAAGTGCACGATTTACTCCAAGGCACCAAAGAAAACACTTTAGTATTAATAATAATAAGTAAAGGTAATTGTTGCAGTAAAACCCGCATTTTACCATTATTCTTCATAGTAGTAGACAACAATTGTAGCCCTTTCAACATATAAGAAAAAATCAAGCGAAAAAATCAAGCTAAAAGTATGAGTATGATGCACATTAGGAACCACATTATTAAATTTAGCATTATTCCTAGCAATCCATATAAACCAAAGAGTAATAGCAGGTACAACAGTGAAGAAAACATGACCATTCTTTCTCCGTTTAGTGAAGATATTAGAAATATTAGTAAACTGCATCAAATTTAATTGCAGTTTCATAAAAACCTTTATCCAAACGTCAGCAGCAAATTTGCATTCGACAAAAATATGAGCATTGGTTTTCTCAAGATTTCTGCAAAGCACTCTGCAAGAAAGAAGCTGCAAACCTTTTACTTTAAGTAAATCTTCAGTAGGAATGATATTATGAAATATTCTCCAAATAAAGAAAGAAATTGAAGGCTTGACTCAAGGGTTCCAATTCCAACTAAGATCCAACCCCTGAAAGGATTGAAATGATTTAACAAAGCTTTTGGAACACGAATCCCCTATATTTCCTTTAATCTTAAGCACAATAATTTTATCACTGATAATAGGAATCGATGCAATGAATTTAGCATCAGCACAGTGAACCAACTTCCGAAGTTCTCTGAAGCACCAACTATTTTCAAATAAAAAATCATTAACTTTGATATCAATCTCAACAGGACCACCATACAAGTCTACTAAAGCACCCTTACCAGTCCAGTCATCATACCAAAAGGAACAGGCCCCTTTGCCAATGTCCCAACAAATTAAGTCCTCAGTGTTTCTGGCAACCTTTAACATCTCACGCCAAATAAAAGAGTCTTTCTTATTAACAGTAATAGAAAGAGGATGTATATTAGAATAATATTTACTATGTATAAAGAAGCCCAAATGGAATTATTCATTCTGAATCTATACCATAATTTCATGTAATTAATTTTGATAGAACCAGATAAGCTTCTAAAACCCAGAACCCCTTTGCCAATGGGCTTGCAAAGCTTGTTCCAACTTCTCCAATGTACCTTAGAATTGCCTTTGCCTTCCCACAAAAATTTATTAAAAAGATTTTCAATTTTTTTTAATAAACCCCATAGGCATATTCATCACTTTCAAAGAATATAGAGGGAGAGAATTAAGCACACTCTTAAGAAGAGTGATGCGCCCACCAAAAGAAAGAAATTTATTCTCCCAGGACAAAATCCTATTCTTGATTTTGTCAAACAGAGAGCATTACAATTTTTGCCCTTATTCTAAGTAAATCCCAAATAGGTCAAAGGTAACATAGCCTTATTGTATCCAGTAAAATCCATAATCCAATCTTTCTTAGCAACCGTAACTTTCTTAGAACAATAGAAAAAGCACTTTGAAGTATTAAAAATCAAGCAAGATATAGTTTGAAACTAAATAATCTCATCCCATAGTTAATGCGTAATATTTCTTAAAAATCTTAATTTGATAGTTAAAGATCATGATTCACACATTAAATGATAACATAAATATATAATCTTTCCATAAGGAGAAAAATATTTTAGATTGTTAAGTATGATTAATTTCTTAACTTTCGGAAAATGCTTTACTATGATGAAATAGCTTTAGAGAACCCGTAATGGAATAGCAACATTGTACTTAGGGGTGTAAACGAGCCTAACACGAGTGAGTCCAAGCTCAGCTCGTTCGAGCTCAAAAAGTGTGTTCGTGTTAGGCTCATTTCTTTTAACGAGCCGAACATGGTTTGTTCACGAACAAAGAGTCGTTTTGATAACTCTAATCACGTAGCCATAAGATGCTATTAAATGTTGGGGCAAGATTTAAAAATTATTGTTTATATTAAAACCTTATTTTAATCTAATTTAAAAAATTTTTATTCTATTTTCTTAATTAATACTCTTAATTGATTATAAATCTTCGTATCCTTGTAGTCAATTAATTTTTTTAAAAATACTACTTGTCAATATATATATATATATAAATAATTGATGAGTATTATTTCATGCCAAAATAAGCCAAACATGAACGAACAAATTTTTATTCGTGTTCTGCTCATTAACTTAGCGAATGAGCCGAATATAAGCTTCTTAAAGCCGAGCACGGGCTATTCACGAGAGCCCTAATTTTACTTATTGTTTATGACTACGATGGTTTGTTCAGAACTGTAACCAAGGGTCTAATTGGGTAAACTAAATTGCATGGTTCGGACCCTTATTATGCTTGGGCGTTTCTTCACTCGACAATGCTAAAGGGCAAATCTGCCCATTAACTCTTTGAGCACAACAGGTTAATTTTATAATGTTTCTTTGTCGGCCTAGCGGGAGCGCATAAACAGGGTATTTTAATTAAAAAATATATATGAAAACAGACCGAACATCAAATAATAAAAAAATTTAAAAAAAGTTGAAGGGCAGATTGGGATCAATTTTTGTTTTTTCTTTTAAGTATTTGAAAATAAAAGCACATGAATTAAATAGAACAATATAATTTGTTCAACTGTTTTTTATTTTATTTCTGTTTTTTTTTTTTTGAAAAAATACGTTTTCAAAAAATTCAAAACAGAAAAAACATATTTTTACTGTTTTTGAAACACCTTAAAGTGACCCATCTCTACACACATTATAAACAAGCTGTGAGAAAATGCAAGTTGCTGCCGGCTTGTTCGAAATTGTTCGTGTTCGAAATCGGTTCGTGTTCAACCCGATTTAAATATTCGTGTTCGTGTTTGACTCAAAATTGACTCGTTAAAATTAAACTGAAAAAATAGAAGTAAAGTGTTGGATTCGAACCTAAATCAAATGTATGCAAAATAAGACGCATTACCATTTTACCAAAAAAACATTTATGATTTAAACTTAGATATAAATATATATAAAATATTATTATATAAATAATATGAGTAATATATTTTTATATACATAATTATATATATATATATATATATTTATTTCGAGTTAAAATGAGCCGAACACAACCGAAAAAAGAGTTGTTCGTGTTCAACTCGTTTATAATTCGAGCATTTAAAACTTGTTTGTGTTTGGGTCTTTTACCTAACTAATGAGCCCAACATGAGCTGTTCGCGAACAACGAGCTTTTTTGACAACCTACCCGCCACCTATTGACTGACGCACACCTCTGGCAGCCACACGTTGTCGGCCGCTCGTTACACGTTACTCGTTTCTATGCAAGCCGTGATCGTTGCCGCCTGCCATTGGCAGTCACCGACGCTCATTGCCTGCGGCTCGACAACCTCTGCCGCTCGACATCCTCACCCGCTCACCCGCTCACCCGCTCGTTGCTTGTTGTCGCCGCTGCCCCCTTTTGATCGTTGTCGCTCACTGCCACCTGCCGTCGTTGCCGGCCCCAATCGCCATTGCCCACTATCCACTTCCCAAAGGCCACCTATTACCTCTCGCCCCTCTCTTGCTGCTCGCCGCCCTTTGTACAAATAATGATAGGTGTAGGGTGGAGCAAGGAAGATGTCTTGTAC